CATACAGCCGGTGGGGTTGTTGGAGACATGGGGTGCGTCTAAGCCAAGACTCCATGGTATGGAACATCGATGGTGGGCAACAGGGATCAGGCACCCAATCTCCGTGTGTCCTTGCAGATTTGTCATACCCCCATAGGGCATGGGGTCTGTGTGATGAGATTTGAGCTTTGAGGAGGACAGGTCTGAGGGTGGGACTGTGCCTGAGACAGCTGACCATAGGAGACAGAACTAGACAGAGCAGTCAAGTGTCACCAGCGTCTCCCAAGCTTGGCTGCCCTTGAGAATTGTCCAAGCAGTGTGGATGCCCTCGGCCTCCCGCTAAAGGGCTGGGCATCTGGCCTTGACCATGAGAAGTCCCCAGAGCTGGGGACAGAAGCCCAGTTGCTTGTCTGACCCTTGTCTGCAGGCCTTCACCAGCGGCGTGAGACGCTATCTACAGTACTATCGTGCTTGTGTGCTCTCCACGCCGCCCACCCTCAGCCTGCTGACCATCAGCTTCCTCTTTAAGAAGCTGGGCCGGCAGCTCAGGTGAGGAGGGGCCGTGGGGTCAGGGCGTGGAGAATGTGGGGGAGGGGCCGCAGCAGCCTGATCCAGCCCTTTGGGCCCAGGTACCTGGCTGAGCTGTGTGGCGTCGGCACTGGACTCCCGGGTACCAGCGGCAGTGGAGGGTCCAGGGCCACCTTCCCAACTGTGAGTTGGCCACTGCCAGCAGGGGGCCCAGGTGGAGAGGCTGGAGGCAGGGGAGTGTTGGGGGCAGCCCTGTTGGTAACCTGCTGACTAGTAAGGATGGGCTCTTGCTGGTGTCTGTAGGGCGTGAAGCTGCTCTCGTACTTGTACCAGGAAGCTCTGGACAACTGCAGCAACGAACACTACCCTGTCCTCCTGTCCCTGCTGAAGACCAGCTGCGAGCCCTACACTCGGTGAGGCTGCGGGCGCGCTTTGGCCCTGGTGGTGGTGGTTCCGACTCACAGTGACTCTGTATAGGGTTTCTGAGGCTGTAAGGCTCATCTTTCTCCCATGGAGCAGGTGGCAGATTCGAACTGCTAACCTTGCAATTAGCAGCCCAACTTGGAACCACTACGCCACCAGGGTTCCTGGTGTGTTAAGAGTTAGCAAGGCGGGAGTTTTCCAGACATGCTCTGTGCACCCGAGGTGAACTTGGAGCCTTGGTACTGCCCAGCTCTCTCATCTGTGATTCCCCTGCTCTTGGGGTTGTGACCCATGGCTGCTGGGTACCGATGGCGTCTTTAAAAGTTTCTGTCTCTTTATTGTAAGAATCAGTGTTTTTGATAAGGCAGATGTGGGCTTGAGAACCCCTGGGGACTAGGTGAGCCACCTTGCACCTTTCTGCTGCAGGTTCATCCATGACTGGGTGTACAGTGGGGTCTTCCGGGATGTTTACGGAGAGTTCATGATCCAGGTGAACGACGACTACCTGGGTTGCAGAGGTAGGTGGGCAGCCTCTGGGGCCAGTTTACACACTGTGGGTCCGGGCTCAGGCCACCACCAATGTGTGCTGCCGCTTGTCCCATGGTAGATAAGTCTTACTGGACCCACGGCTACATGCTGATTTCTGAAGAGGTGGAGGACTGCGTTCCTGTGTTTCTGAAGCACATCGCCAACGATGTGTACGTCTGCGGGAAGACCATCAACCTGTTGAAGCTCTGCTGCCCCCGGGTGAGAGCGAGTGCCTCCTGGTTGTGTTTGTGTGTGGCTGCGAACGTGTGTGTGTTTGTGAGCCTGTGCAGATATGTGGCTCTTTAGGATAAGCCCTGGACGACGTACCACCAGGTCACCAACTGCTCCTCGGAAACCCGGTGTGGGGTCGCTGTGAGCCAGAGCTGACTTGATGGCACTGACCGACAATGACGTGTGTGCACATGTGTGTCCATGAGGGGTCGCGAGTGTGTAAGCACGCATGTGCACTAGCATTTGTACCATTAGGTGTGCACGCGTGTGCCCCCTCCCCAGCTGTGGCATTTGGGCGTGTGTGCTCAGTCAGACCCGCTGAGCAGTGAGCTGGGTCTGTCCATCTGTGGGGCTCACGCGGCCCTTCTCTTGGCAGCATTACCTGTGTTGCTCTGACATCCCTGTTCCTCGGATCTCCGTCATCTTCTCCCTTGAGGAACTGAAGGACATTGAGAAGGACTGTGCCGTGTATGTGGGGCGCATGGAGAGGGTAGCACGCTACAGCTCCGTCAGCAAGGAGGAGAAGGTGAGGGGCGCAGGGGGCGCGCCTTCCTGGGGGTGACTCTGAAAGCCGTCCTGCGACCAGAAGGAATGGGTAGGGAGATTGGGAGTCGGGGTGTAGGGACCAGCAGGTCCTGTTTGGGTCACCCACCTAGCTGCCCCTGCTGCTCCTTTTGGGGCCCTGTGATTGAGTGACTTCCTGGAGGAAATGGCTGGCATGGCCTGTTGGCTTTGCTAGCTCGGACTCTGAGCATGCTGTGCCCGGTGGGGCAGGGAGTTAGGGAGGCAGTTAGCTGCTGCTGATGTCATTTTTAGGAACTTCGTGTGGAAATCGCAAAACAAGAGCTAATTGCCCATGCCCGAGAGGCAGCGTCCAGGGTTCTGAGTGCCCTGAGCGGTAAGTGTGCTCGGTCATTGCCCTGGTGGCCCTGGGGTCTGTCTCCAGAGTCCAGTCACTGAGCAGTTTCCTCTGCAGACCGGCAGGTGTCTGAGCGCGTGGCCCTGGACGCCCGGAAGCGAGAGCAGTTCCAGAGGCTGAAGGAACAGTTTGTGCGCGACCAGGAGGTAAGTAGGCTGGCGGCGGGGTCTTCGGGCTCAGATGTGTGGTGGTCTCAGGGTCCTGCATCCCAAATGCTGTGTGTGTTTGTGTGCAGCGACGCCTGGCGGCCAGACAGGAAGAGGCTGCTGACGACTTCAGCTACGCCCGTGAGCTCCGCGACAGGGAGAAGCGACTGCAGGCCTTGGAGGAGGAGCTGGAGCGGAGGGCCAGGTGGGCGGCGCATCGCTCTGTCTTAGCGATGACTCGATTTTGTTCTTTGACATTTTATTCTGAAAGGGTTGACGTGAACCCCAGATAGAAACGTAGTTGGTCCCCTGAGCCCCTGAGTAGCTGCCACCGGACTCAGTAGTTAGGAACTTTTGCGACTCTCATATCTTCTCAGGTGTCGTCAAGACGCCTTTTCATAGCTGATCTGCATGACCTCGGATCCAGAGAAGGTCACGTGTACTGTTGGGCTGTATGTCTTTGTCTCTTCTGATGCTAATTGGTTCCTTTCCTCTGAATTACTGTTCAGCTGGTTGTCGACGGGTTGGCCATCTGTGTGGCACAGCGTCCAGGGTGCTGGGCACACTCTGTCCCCTTGTGCCTCATCTGCCTGGCCCACTCTTCCTGTATTTCCTGTGAACCGGACATTAGAGCTGGAGTCTCATAGGCCCAGTCTAGTGCTTACTTTGTTGGCTGAGTCATGATTGTAGTAGGTGTATGAGCTGTCTTAGGTACTTTGAGCTCTTATAGCAGAAACACCACACATGGCGGAGGGGGTGGCTTTCACAAATAGGAGAGTATCCTCCCAGTGCGGAAGCTACAAGTCCGAATTCAGGGAGCCAACCCTCGGTGACGCTGACTCTGTGTGGGCTTGGGGAACGATCGTGATTTCCTCTCAGCTTCTGTTCGTGTGTTCTTGGCATTTATATGCTGTGTGTCTTCCTCCTCATCTGAGTTTGCTTTTTGATGGTGTTAACTCTGTGGTGGTTATGTGCCGTGGAGTCGGTTCCGACCCATAGCGACCCTGCACAGGGTTTCTGAGGCTGTAAATCTTTATGGGAGCAGAAAGCCTCTTCTTTCTCCTGCAGAACAGCTGGTAGTTTCAAACTGTTGACCTTGTGGTTCGCAGCCCGATTTGTAATCACTATGCTACCAGAGCTTCTTAGGACTCCATGTTAGGGGTAAGTTAATTAAATGTTTGACCAAATATAGCAGGCTAATTTTTAAGTTGGTAATTAAAAAAAAAAAAAAAAAAGATTTATGCTGTATTTATATGAATTATATTGGGTTTGATTATCTTTTTTTTTAAGTTGGTGATTTTGTATGGCCTATAAATGATGTTTTGAATTTTGGCAGAAAAAGTTTTCCCACCCCTGCTATAGAGTGTTGCTGTGAATCACAACAGACTCCACAGCACTTAACAAACATCACAATTAATTCTGTTAACCACTGACAGCTGAGTCCTGTAGGCCTCTCAGCATCTTCTCCCACCTTCTCTTACCCAGACCCAGCAGGGCAAAAACGATGTTTGGTGGGAATTAGAGACGATGCCTAGAAGAGACATTCAGCAGCTCGCTCTTCCACCGCAGTGCCTACGAAAGTCGTCTGTTACGGTACAAGGTCTCTGTTGTTAGGTGCTCTCGAGTCGCTTCAAACTCATAGTGGCCCTAAGCCTGCCCGTCCTGCGTCATCCTGACCATCGTTAAGTTTGAGCCCACTGTGGCCGCTACTGTGTCACTCCGTGTCGTGTGCAACAAACAGCATTATGAGAAAGCTTGAAATGCTGTGAGAATTACCAAAGTGGGACATAAAGTGAGCACGCACACGCCGTTGGAAGAGTGGAGCTGAGAGGTTGGTCCGATGCTGGCTTGGGACAGGCTGTCAGTTTGTAGAAAGCATAATGTCTGATAAGACAATACAGCAGAGTACCAACGTCAGGTGTGCCTGTGCCCCAGCAACACTTGGGGTGTCTCTGTCTTTGGGGGCAGTGCTGCAATGAGCCCTGGGGCACAGGGTGTTTGAGTCCCCGATTTCACGTCTTTGAGGTACATGCTCAGGAGTGGAATTGCTGGGGAAAGTGGTCATTCCTTTGTACTGTTCCCAGGCACGGCCAGACTTGTCTCCGCAGCAGCTGCACCATTTTACATTCCCGCCAGCATCGCATAAGGATTCCAGTTTCTTCTCTGCATCTTCACCAATACTTCTGGGTTTTGTTTTCTAAAATTAAAGAACCAATAGATCTGTTTTGGAAGAAGTGCAGCCAGAGTGCTCCTTGGAGGCCAGGATGGCTAAGCTTCATCTCTCCTACTTTGGACATATTGTCCGGAGGAAACAGTCGCTGGAGAAGGATGTCATGCTGGGTAAGGTGGAGGGAGGGTCAGAGAAAAAGAGGAAGACCCCTAACGAGATGGATCAGCCAGGTGGCATCATTGATGGACTCAGGTGTGGCAGCGGTAGTGAGGTTGGCCCAGGATCAGACATTGTTTCGTTCTGCTGTGCATGGGGTCGCTATGAGTCGGTTCCGACTCGATGGCACCTAACAACAACAACAAAATAATAGTTACCTAAGTAGATGTACTCTGGTAGCGCAGTGGTTATGAATCAGGCTGCTAACCTCAGGGTCAGCAGTTTGAAACTCCCAGCTGTTGCGTGTGAGAAAGATAAGGCTTTCTGCTCCCGTAAAGATTTACAGCCTCGGAAACCCTGTACAGGGTCACTATGAGTCGGAACCGACTCCACGGCACATAACAACAAAAACAAGTAGATGTAAGGAGTCCTAGTGTTGCCCTATAGGATAAACTGCTAACTGCAAAGTCAATGGCTCAAACTCACCAGCCACTCCTTGGAAACCCTACACAGGTTTTCCAAGTGAGTTGGGAGGCATTTAACAACAACAAGAAAGTAGGTACACAGTGGTATCTTTGATTTGCATTTCCCTTATCACTAATGAGGAGCACAGAAGGGGCTGTAGGGTAAGCATGGGACTGCTAACCACAAGGTTAGTGGTTCAAACTCACCAGCCGCTCCAAGGGAGAACCATGAGGCTTTCTGCTTCTGTTAAGATTCGTAGCCTCGGAAACCCTGTACAGGGTCGCTGTGAATCAGAACTGACTCAATGACCAGCTAACAACAACAATGAAAGGACTGGTTGTGCAGTGGTGAAAGCGCTCAGCTTTGAGCCAAAAGGTTGGTGATTCAGACCCACAGCCGCTGTGTGGAGAAAGGTGATGCAGCCTGCTGTCTGTAAAGACGGCGTCGGGCAGCCTTGACTCTGCCCCTGAGTCAGGGCCGCCACCGTGGGTCTGAATGGACAGCACTACTTTCCTGTTCTTAATGACTAATGGTGGCCAGACTTTGTATCTCGTGCTGTGGACAAGTTCTCAGGAGGGACCAGTCCCTGGAAAAGGGCATCATACCTGGTAAAGTAGAGGGTCAGTGAAATAGAGGAAGACCCTCAACGACATGCATTGGCACTGTGGCGGAAACAATGACCTCAAACCTAACGATGTGAGGCTGAGGCTGAGGCAGGAGCGAGCCGTGGTTTGTCCTGGTGTGCAGAGCGGCACCTGACAACGACAACATGGCCATTTCTAGATCTTCTTTTCAGAGATACGTCTATTTCAATCCTTTGTCTATTTTTGGGTTGAATTGTCTGTTTTCTGTTGTTGAGTTATAAGTTATTTATATGGTTTGGATGCTAATCCCTTATCAGATATGATTTATAAATGTTTTCTCCCATTCTATGGGTTCTCTTCATTCTTAATTGATGTACAAAAATTTTAATTTTGACAAAGTCCAATTTAGTTTTCTTTTGTTTTCTGTGCTTTAGATGTCGTATCTAAGAAGCCATTGTTCCATCTAAGGTCATGAAGCTTTTCCCCTTTGATGTTTTAAAACAGATTTATAGTTTTAGGTCTTAGATTTAGATCTTTGATCCATTTTGACGTGGTTTCTGTATGTGGTGTGAGGTATGGGGCAAACTTCATTCTTTTGTACATGGCTTCCACTTTCTCAGCACTGTTATGCACATTACCCGTTATATAGGCTGGTATCCAAGTTAAAGAGAGTTGGTTTTGAACTCAGTTGTGTTCCACTGATGTGTTTATCTGTGTGCCAATACCACACTGTTTTGATTACTGTGATTTTGTAGTAAGTTTAAAAATTGCAAGTGTGAGTCTTCCAACTTCACTCGTTTTCAATATTGTTTTGGCTGTGTGGGGTTCCTTGCAATGCTGTGTGGATTTTAGGATGGAGTTTGTGATTTTCATGGGGATCTCACTGATCTCTCTGTGCTGTGAGTGGTATTGTCATCTTACCAAGGTTGGATCTCCCAGCCCATGAACTTGGAGCATCTTCTGTTTATTTAGGTCTTTATTTTTTTCAGTCATGTTTTGTAGCATTCAGTGTACAAGCTTTTTATCTCCTTGGATAAATTTATTCCTAATTATTTTATTCTTTTTGATAACTTTACTAAGTGAAATTGTTTTCTTAATTTCCTTATGGGTTTGCTCATTTTGTGGTTATTGTTTTATCTTGTGATTTTTCTAAATTTGTTTACTATCTCTAATCCTTGCTTTGTGGATTTTTGAGGGTTTTCTGCTTATAAGAAGTAGATTCATGGCTTCCTTTCCAGTTGGGATACCCTGAATTTCTTTCTCTTGTCTAGTAGCTCTGACTAGAACTTTGCAGCAAGGCACCCCAGGGTTCAGTGGTAGAGTCCTCACTTTCCACGAGGCAGTGCCTCCATCAGTGGGAGCTTGCTGCTGCTGTGATATTGAACAGGTTTGGACAGACGTCTAGACCAAGATGGACTAGGAAGAAAGCCCTGGTCATCTGAGTCAGCCAGGTGAAACCCTGTGGGTCACATGATCTGACTTGCTCTGGTCGTGGGAATGGCACAGGACTGGGCCGCATTCACTCACCCCATTGTGCATGGGGTCACTGTGAATGCAGGGCTGATAGGGCAGCCGCTACCAGAAACAATGGAGCATCCGTCAGTGCCGTGGAGACTGGGAGCAGTGAGAGTGGTTGACTTATCCTGTGCCCATCTCGGGGAAGAGCAGTCTTCCCACCGGTGAGTGTGTCTAGACTTTCATATGCGGCCTTCACCCTCACATGCAGTTCTCTTTCACTCTTTATTGAGTTTTTTATCTCATGAAATGGTGTTGAGTTTTGCCAGAAGTTTTCCTGCATCCATTCCACGGATCATGGTTTTCTTTTTGGAT